GGGCCCCCCCCCCCCCCACTGCCCCTGCCAGGCAGACCCGTACCCTGCCCTGTCTTCCTCCCCCACAGGCAGACCCCAGCTTACCCCCTCCTTCCTGAGTAAGCCAGGATCAGGGGATATGGCTAGGGGAATTGCTCCTGGCTCCAGGCAGAAAAAGGCAGTAAAGCTCCTTCTTCAGGCTTTCCCCCTCTCCCCCACACCCCCCCTCTCATATGCATGGGGCAGCACTCAAGTGGGGGTCTGGTGCAGGGGTGGGGGGGTTCTCCCCTACCCTAAAGTCTGATATTAAGTCTGCTAACGAGGTAGGGAATCCCTTCTCTGCACCAAAGCTAATGGAGAATGCTCTGTGAAGCTGAGGACCCCAGCCAGCCCCAAGATGCAGGGATTGTTCCCCTGTTGGCATGGAAGTGTAGGAGGGCGCGCAAGGGTTTGCGGGGGCATGTGGTACGCAGCCAATCAAGAATAAGTCCTGCTTGGCTGCATTTGGATTCCTTTGGCAGTGGCCGGAAAGCTGGGAGGCATGCTCTGTTGCCCCTCAGCTACTGGTATGGGCCACTGCAGGGGTCTGGCTGCCTTTCTGGTTTCAAAAGTGAATGTCTGTTCACTAGCTTATTGGTTCAATCTGTGCAGTTTAGACTGACCCGCAAAGGTTGAATCAATTCAGCCTTGGGCTTTTAGATTGTCTGTATTTAGCCATGGTGTGTTTTCCATGGGAATCTCATGCTCTCTGTTGCATGAGAGCATACTGGTGGTATTGTTGTCTTAAGATGGGGTATTGCTTCCTCTTGTTACATCCTTGCTTTGGTCTGAAGAGGCTGCTCTGCCAAGGCAGATGGTGGCTGGAAGAGTTGGAGATGGGGAAAATAGGACTGGGTGGAACCACTCTAGTCCTGTTCCTTGCAGGCAACCACATTGTGGCTGATCAAGCTCCATCTTGAAAGTGGCTGGGCTTTTTACACCCACTAATCATTATGGAAATCTGATCCATAATGGTAAAATCCTGCCTGGGAGGGTTTGTATCCTAGCTGGAGAGCCTTTGCACAACACATTTAAAGTCCCTTTGAGCTACCCCTGATAATTTGCCAGGACTAGGCACTTTCAACTAATCAGTGATGTCCCATTGACATAGTTTTGTTTGAATCTTTCAGGCCCCTCAGTTGCATAATAGGAACAGGGCTAGAGCCTCCTCTGGCTTGTGCTCCTTGGGCAAAACATGAGCCCTGTAAATACACCGGGTCCTCGAGACAGTGTTTTGGTTTTCTCTGAGCTTTCTAACCAGACCCCAAAACTGTGACTTTGCCCCAAGGAGTCTTGGGAGCATTAAATAGTTGTGGGGACAAACAACATGGTAGAATAGTGAAAAAAAAATGGTTGAGGAAAAAGAGCTCTTTGCCTTCCTAGCTCTGGTGTGGAAAGATTTCAGCACATCCACCCTAAGATTGCGTTTGGTAGGTCTTTGATGTGTCAGTTGCTAAGGTAACAATATGCGTAGTCTTGAGCTGCTGAGTGAAATAGGGACACCAGCAGACCTCCCTGTACCGACAGGATATTATAATTCACAGCAGCTCTTGCTGCTGCTGCTCCTCTCAACCTTCCTCAAAAACTGAAGAACCTGCTTTCTTCCTAAATGTAAATAGTCATGACTGTGCCAAACCGCGACTTGTCTACATTTGGAAATGTCATTGTGTCCAACCATGTGTTAATGAGCATGGTTTTATATGCAAATGTAGAGAGGACTTGTCATGTTTATCTTCAGATCAGCTGGTTGTGTTTAACCTGAAGTCTCACCTTAAGGGTAACTATGAGCAACTGACAGGATGTTTAATTTGACAGCTTTTACTTCCACATGTTTAATACTGTGCTGCGTCTAGCAGGGTAATTTTTCAGTGTAGACCAGACCCTGATGAGTTTGTGCCTAGGCTATTCTTTTCAGAGATGTGAAATGTCCTTTGCACAAGAGAGGTTTGAAGAATTGCATAAAAGAGAGAGTGGTGCATTTTCAGGTGTGTTTTTCTGCTCTGTAATTCCCTTTGCATTTGAAGGAATAAATATCAGTCCTGACCAGAGGAGGGCAACCTCTGTTTACACTGTGAAGACTTAAACCAGATTTGTGATAAGGGCAAGGCTTTGGGTGAGGAAAAAATGATGTAGATCCATAGAGATTGTTATTCAGACTATGAAATGACCACTCCGTGGTTAACTGAGGTTTAATGAATTCTCTACATGGGTTTGTAGTCTGTGTCTTCTCATTAAAGGGTTAAAAAAACCCAAGAAATATTTTCATAAGAAGGCTGAAGGCCACCCGGTTCCCCAGAACCCGAAAAGATTCTGGTACTTTAATCTATATCCTCCTGAAAGCAGCTGGGTTCACCCTGTAGCTGCCAAAGAGGGGCTAAGGACTGTGATGAATGATGCAGGGGAGTTTTTGTTCCTTGTTTTACAGAGTTTTTAACCCTAACTCCCATTGTTCTATATTAATGAAAATGAATAACTACTGGCTTCGGCTCCATGCTTAAATTACTTCATCACAAAGCATAAGCCTTTGGCTTTCCAGCAAAGAACTAAGGAACCACCTTCTCCCTTATGGCCTGTTATGATTCCTGCACTCAGCTGAGAACAACCTCCAGCAGGTAGCACTGCCCCAGCCCCCTTAGTGAAAACGTACGGGAGGTCATTCTTGGTACTTGCCCCTCAGCTTTGGAACTCATGAGCATGAGCCTGGACATCCTCTGGAAGCGCTGTAATACCTCTCTGTTTGGATGGTGGTTTAGTAAGCACGGCTAAGATGGGATATTATTTTGTGCTTCAGTTTTAATAGTCTACTTGCTTTTATAAGGTTAGCTGTCTTGCTTTGTTCTTTTGCTTGTTCTTTGTTTTGTAAGTTGTTTTGCTCTCTTGGTGTAAGGTGACCTGAGCCTTCGTTAGGGAGGGCAGCAAATAAATCTAATAAATAAATGATTAAATAAACAAATGTCCTAGAGTTGACAAAGCCACATGCGGTATGCGGTACTTTTGTTGCTTGGTGACTGGTCTGAATTGGTGTTGTTCATAGGTTGAAGGGGTTGGATTCCAGTCCTCACTTCCCCTCTACTGTACTCAGCAATGTAAAGGGTATATAGTTATTGCCCTCAGAGTTTACTGGTTCTTCTTTTTTCCTTTGTAGTGCACAGATGTCTTCAGGGCATTCTGTGGCGGTGATGGGCATTGACTTTACTCTGAGATACTTTTATAAGGTTCTAATGGACCTGCTACCAGTTTGTAACCAGGATGGAGGCAACAAAATAAGGTAAGCATTGGGTTACTGTATTGGCTTTAGTCTTTTCTTTAATATAGTATGCCTTTAAACTAGGGGTGCACCAATAGAGATTTTCTTGGCCAGCACCAATAGCCGATTATTCACCAGGCATATTGGCTGGTACCAATTTGATAACAGATTTACAGGAGCACAGCCTAGCAGCATGCAAAGCAGTGCCCCCCGGGTAAGTCTATGGAGGGGAAGGAGTTTGAGGGGTGGGGGGCAGATCAAGACCCCCATGGTAAGGGAGGAAGGGAGGGCGGCAGGGGCAGGGGTTGGAGCTGAGGCTGGGGGCGCTACCAGGGTGGTGAATGGGACGCCAGGGGAGCAGGACAGAGGCGCAGGTGGATCCTCCATGGGATCAGCATTCTGGTGCTTAAAAATGGCAGCAGCAGTACTTGAACTAAAGCTTATCAAATGAATTTTAGTTCAAGCACTGCTGCCACCATTTTTAAGTGTGGGAGACACTTTTAGGAGCAGAGCTGAGTGGGATGAGGGCGGATACAGGCTGCTGTCCTCCCTGCTGCCTTTTGCCCTGGGAGCTGTGCGCTGGCCACACCGTGTCCCCAGCCCCTCCAGCAGCAGCAATGCAACCCCCGCTCTCCTTGCACCCTCCAGACGAGCTGCCCGTGGCTTCGTCCTGCTCCTTGCCCCAGCACCCCATTCACCGCCCTGGCTGGGCAGCATCCCCTGCCTCTGCTCTACTCCCTTCTTTACTGTGGGGGCCTTGAGCTGCACTCCCCTCATGCCACTTCCCTCCCCCACACCCCTTCCCCTCCACGGACTTATCTGCAGGGCACTGCTCTGTACACTGTCAGGCTGCATTCCAAGCCACATGTGGCTATGCTCAATGCACTGGGCATCCAGGGGCCCTGGCCAGAACGCATATTGTATTTATAGATACATTATTGGCTACACAGGCCAAAGAACCTGATAGCCGATAATGTTAATTTTCCTTGTATCAATCCTGATCCAATATGGCACAGATATATCAGTGTACCTCTACTTTAAACATTATTTTATTAATTTTAATTGAACTTGTTTACTTAAATGGATTACAGTTTGAATTCATTTTCCTCTGGACTCTTGGTACCCAACGTAAAATATTAGTCAGTCGAATGAAAAATCAGTAAAATGTAAAAAGGGTAAGTAATTCATTGTTATTTGTGTTATATAGGCTTAATCCATATGTATCCTTGGACATAAATCCATATTAAATTAACGCAGCTTCCATTCTTTTCTTTACTTATCATCCTGGAGTATTTTTGGGTACTGGTGATAGTGACAGGATGAAAGAATAAAGTTTGTTTGTATGAAATGGTATAATCTCCGTAATTGATTGGAGGCAAAACTGTAAAATGCTCCTTTGTTTCATTTGTCATATAAAATAAGTTAATACTGGTATTGTAAAGTGCCTGGTCTTACACTTGGTGCTTAATTTTAACTTGACCTACATAAATCTGAATGTTTCACTGTTCTCTCAGCCTTTACTGAAGATTCTCACAGCAAAAAGCCTCTGTATTATGGATGCAAGGGCTAGATAAAGTGGGTTTTAACATTTAAAAAGGACCTTGAAGTTTGGAAAAATGGATGTGTGCTTTCTCCCCCTCTCCTCTCTTTTGTCTTTGTTCTAATAATAAAATGAGTGGGGTGCTTGTTCTTTTTATTTTTGCCTTTAAAATATTAGGAGGGTCAAATCTGGTGTTTTTGGAACTGTCTGTTGTAGGAACAGGAACAAATGCTTTCCTTGCCTTTAAATGAGGGTGCTAGGCTCTTGAATTTCTTTTTATTATTTTGTTAAGAATACATCTTCCAATGTTTGTCAGGCACTTGACAAACCCAGACTAAACAAAATAATGCCCTAAACAGCCTGAATATTTCATTTCATTTTGCATTGGCAGTCAATCAAAGTTAATTCCATGGTATTTTTGATCATAAGCCCACTAGTTTTCCAGCTGTCTATAGCATTTTCCAGGGAAACCAGAGCAGGCAAGACCTGAATGTCTAATGCAAAAACCAGAAGTTAGGCAGGAAGAAAATCTGTTGAAACTTCTTGTGACTCTTTCATGAATATAAAGGTGCAGCTCCACCAGTTTTCCAGTACAGGTTCTTTAATCTTACATACGTGTTGTTCTTATTTCATTGACATGACACAGGCACTCTAAACAGTCATGAGAATCTTTTAGCCCCTGGCAGAAGGCAGGGGAAGTCTGTACAGCTGCAGGACCCAGCCAGAGCCATGCTGAGCCTGGAGACTTGAGCTCTGCCCCTGCTGAGTTCTTCAGGAGCATTAAGTGGCCTACATTAACCTCTTCCAATTTCCCCTCTGTGGCCACAGATTCTCTTGATCTTTGCACAGACTAAGCCCTCTGTAATGCCCGCTCCTTTGCCTTCCCCCTAGCGCTGCTGTCTGTGTCTATGGTAACAGAAAAGGAGAGAGAGGCACATTGAGCACGGAGACTGCTGGTTAAGGAAGACAGAACAGGCCGTGCGGGAAGAAGTGGGCTTAGTCTTCTGAAAGCCTAAGAGCAGCATCTCTTACAGCCGTGGGGAGAGGGGTGTAGTAAGCTGTAAGAGAAGGGGATGAAGTGGTGGATGGGTGAAAAGGAGTGTGAAGGGAAGGTGACACTACAGAGTGGGAGATAGAGGTACTTTGCACTTCTGTACTTTGCCCATTTAGCAGCCGCTCTGAAAGAATTTACAGGCATAAAGTTAAGCTTTGCATCCCACCATTTTATGGATAGGGAGGCTGAGGCACAGAGGTGACATTATTTCCGTGAGGTCAGGCAGGAAGTTAACGGAAGATGAGGAAATAGGAGGGGATATGATGAAGGAATAAGTGCTGAATAAGAATTCATATTGAGTAGAAGTTATTTTCCCCCCATTTGAAATGAAATTAGAGGCTCAGCAGTAGGGGAGGTAGTGTCTCTTGGAAAACAGCAATATATACACGTATCTATTATTGAGTATGGACTGGGGTGGGCAAAATGTGGCCCCTGGGCCAAATCTGGCCCACCAAGAGATTGTATCCAGCCTGCGGCAGGTCCCTCAGCCCCACCTGCACCTGCAGTGGGGAGTAACCAAGGCCACGGCATGTGCAGCTGGTTCTGCGGGGCACATGGTGGGCACGACGCAGTGGCCGGACTCAGCTTCCCTGCAGTGGTAACTCATTCTGCCCAGCTGTCACTGCCAGTCCGCCCTGCGCCCATTGCCAGGGGTGCTGGATGGAGCGGGCAGGGTCTGTATGGAAACCAGCTGGGAACCCCCATGGGCAGGGCACACTTGGCCAGGCAGGGGGGGATGGGGCCACAGACGGGTGGGGAGTGGCGTCCAGGAACAGAATGGGTGGGCAGGGCTGGGGCTGGGATCGCAGGGTGATGACGACAGGCGGCCAGGGTCCTGGGCAGAACCGTAATCTGCTCCCCGCTTGTCCCTGCAATAGGCGCTGGTTCCACTGGGATTATGGGATGGTGACAGTGCAGGGCCAGGGCCCTGGCCAGAGCCGTGATCCTCTCCCCACACAACCATCTTGAACATGCAGGGAGCAAATCACAGCTTTTACCTGGGCCCTGGCCCCATGGGATCACCACCCTGTGATCCTGGCCCATCCCGTTCCTGGATGCCACTTCCTGCCTGCCTGTGGCCCCATCCCATCCACCTAACCAAGCATGCTCTGCGCATGGGAGTCTAAGGCTGGGCTCTTTGGAGACCCTGCCCACTTCATCTGGTGCCCCGGCAGTGGATGCGAGGCAGATGGGCTCAGAGCCAGATAGGATCAGTTACACCCCCCACCCTCCCGCTGCACTGAGCCAGCAACAACGCCACTCCTCTTCCAGCCTGCAACAGCTCACCGAAACTCCTTAAGTGGCCTTTCAGCCTAAGTAATTCCCCGTCCACATGTGCATTGGGACTGGTTTCAGAAGGCCAGCAGCTGTTACATTGTAACTGTTACCAGGGCCAAGCCTCCCCCTATACCAATGTAGCAAAACTGCTCCAACTATAACACTGCTTGGTATTATAGGGTTAAAGCTGGAGCAGTTTTTTGCTACATTTATATCCTTCCAGGCTTGGCCACAGGTAAGGTTGAGAATGTAACAGCTGCTGCTGTTTTGAAATGCTCTCCTTTTGAAATGGCTCCAGATGTGCACATGTCCATACCCTAAGCCTTTATATGTATGCATATATTCTGTGTGTGTATATATGTATGTATGTATCTTTATTTATTTATTTTCTTATTTACATTTTAGGTCATTAAGCTTAAAAAACTTGGTTTTACTATCCACTACTAAGCTACTGTGTGCCTACTTTTTATTTTTATGTATTTATTTTTGCTTACTATATTATGCTTCTCTTATATTGATATTCCTCTCGGATCTGACAATGCACTTTAGTTTCTACTCATTTCATCCTTCGAGATCTTGGTATAAGCACAGTGTTGCAAGAGTGGCTGCTTGCCAAACTTCAGGGAAATACTGGTATAGTCTTTTGTTTCAATGGGCAGAAAGTTTTGTTTTTAATTGGCTGGAAGTGGTGTTTTGTTGTATTTTCCTTTTTGGTTGCTTACAGTTCTAAATTCTAGACCATATTTTGCCTCTACAATATGGAGAAATCTATTAATAATTAATATATTGTGCTTGTCTAGATGTTTTATCATGGAAGATAGAGGATATCTTGTGGCACACCCAACCCTTATTGATCCTAAAGGTCATGCTCCAGTAGAACAGCAGCATATCACACACAAGGTTTGACTTCTGCTCCTCTTTCTACTTCTGGTGTTTCTAGTTCTGTTTCTTTGAAATGTAATGATATCATTATGATGTGTGTGGTCTTTTTTTTTTTCCTTTCAGGAACCATTGGTAGCAAATGACATTTTGAATCACCCAAACTTTGTGAAGAAAAACCTTTGCAACAGTTTCAGTGACAGAACAGTTCAACGGTTTTATAAATTTAATACCAGCCTTGTGGTAAGTTTTGTTTTTTGAAAGTACTTTTGGTTTGAACAACAAAAGAGATACCAAGTAAACTCTTTCTGAAGAGTGAAACCATGTTAGCCTATAGAGACCTAAAATAAGCAGGCTAGATTGTGCAAACCTTATTCGTGTAAGCAGTCCATTGAAATCTAAGTGATTATAAACAGTGGAACTTGCCAAAGAGAGCAGTGGTGGTGCAGTCTAGCCAAGTAGCTAGAACAGGGGAGGTTTGTATTTCCTGTCCATATTGAACAATTAAAAAAAAAAAATAGTTTGGATTCTTCTGCAGTAAACCTTGTTACCTGACATCCAGTTGCCAGTTCTCACCCTTGTCAAACTTATGGTTTAAAGATGGTACTTTTGTCTTACCCTTCACATTTGTAGAGTATTTCCAAACGTAACTTCTCTTTAGGTAGAAGTTCAGGTGGTAAAATAGAGAACGCATATGACAGCAAATATGACAAGACTCGCATGGTGCAAATTTGTCAAATTGAATTCTACGATTCTGAGTGAATGTGGTTATACCATGACATATATGAGTCTTCCCCATTCTCAGTCTTGCCAGAGATTCTCAGCCAATATTCAGAAGAGCTATTGTCTGTTGCTGTGTATTGAATGCTGACTGCAAACAATCCATCATGACAAGGTCACTGTGGAATAATGTAAAATAATACATGCTCTGATAGGGCACTGTTATTTAAACACACTTTTTGATGATTATTAACATAAGCATCAAGAAATCGTTTGAAAGCTGAGCCAAGGTCAATCAATTTTGGTGTTTTGCTCACAGTTGAGATGCAAAAGACAAAAGCTTATTTGCAGCAAATGAGAATGTTGAGGACAGAATGCAAATCTTGATTATGTTGTGCGAGTCAGGATCAGGAATGTCTTAGCCTACAAAATAAACCACAGCTGGAGGATATTTTTATAGTAGACGAGCCAGCAAGTTTTCTGCAAGTTGTGATGGTGCTTGCCAGCCAGAACTGAATCTCTTTGTGAAGGTTACAGATAGCTGGCATCATGGAGAAAGGAGTGGGGGGAACAGACTTATTTGAATTATTTGGATGAAGAATAGTTAGCAGTCAGGCAGGCTATTACATGAGAGGCCATTGTAGCACATCATACTGTTTATAAGATGAATACATGGAAAGTGCTTTGTCAGTGCTTTTCAGTTTTGCTCATCTTGAAAACAAGCACGAGCTAATTCATGTACCCAGTATCAGAAGAAAAGCACCCTATGTTCGTGTTCCTTCAAATTGTTTCAGTTTGTGCTTCAGTACAAGTGTTTGAGAAGCAGGATCAACTTCAGCTCACCAGGAAATATGTTCCTTGCCATATCTCTGACGTGGCTTGCTTTTCCCTAGGGTGATCTGACAAACCTTGTGCATGGCAGCCACTGTTCTAAATACAGACTGACAAGAATACCTGGAACCAATACCTTTGTTGGAATAGTCAACGAAACATGTGACTCGCTTGCTTTCTGTGCCTGTAGTATGGTAGACAGGCTCTGTCTGAACTGTCACAGGTAAGCAAGTGATTTGAAATGAACTGACTGGTGCAAGCAATATTTTTGTGTTATTTATTTCAAATGAAGCTCAGGAACACTGGTCACTTATAGGGCAGGCTTCATAGCTGCAGTCCAAACCCAAGGCCACAGTATAGCAGATACACTAGCTGAATTAATCAAATTATGTTAATTAAAACAGGCAGAGTTGTGCATCTTTTGTATACAGGCTTGTGGGCTTATCAGGCTTTTTCCTCATGGTTCTCACTCTTTTAAAGTACTTTTCCATGTTTTCAAAATGTCATCAAAGTCTTTTGATAGTTTGAGCGCTCCTCTTCTCTCATCCCCTTTCCCCCTTACCACACGTACACATAGTCTGTTCTTTGTCATTTTACAGTGTTTCCTTTGGCCTCATACAAAGGAATACAAGTTTTAGTGGGTGCATCTACACATGCAATTAGCACAGCTCACTAAACTCTGGTGCAGTGTGTGCCAGTCAGCTGCTCCCAGTGTATACACGTGCACCTAGGACCACAGCTGTTTGAGTTGGGGCAGAACAGATCCAGGCTGGCAGGTGGCTCAGCAGTCAGCCCTGGGCTCTGACTGGAGGCTTCGGGTGGTGGAAGGACTGGCTAGGGCATGAGGGTGCTACAGTGGGAGGCCAGGTAGCAGGCAGTCGCTGCACTGTATCACCATCAGGCCCCAGCCAGCCCCGGTCACTGTCTGCACATGGGTTTCAGCACACAAAATGACTCTGCCCTAAGATAGTACTTATTCCAGACAGTACTATCCTACGGCGGGGTTAATTAATTTACCGTGCCCTAATACAGGTGCATGCATGATGCATAGACAGTGACACTGTATTATGAAGCTAATTACTCAGCTCCCGAGTTAGGCACATGTGTAGATGCACTGATTGTGTACGAGTAAGGCCCAGCTACACATTACTTATATTACACAATTAACTGGTCAATCGCGCAATAGATTTAGACTGGCCATACACACAAAGTAAGACCAACCACAAGTGCAAAGTCATTATCGCACAATTAACTGGTTAATTGCACAATTAATTTGGACCAGCCACACATGCAAAGTAATTATCACATGATAAAATATCTATCCAGCTATAAAAAGAGCCAAAATACGTAACAACTCTATAGCTGGTTTCTGTCCTTCTTTAATTTTAACATGTAGCAAGGCCCTGAAGTCCACTAAACAGAATGGGATTGCTTATCTGGGGCAGGGTTAAATACTGGCAGAATCAGGCCCTTTGCCTTAAGCCCTATGGTTTATTAACACTTTTTAATGTGGAACCACATAGATTGTCACCTAGGGGCAAAAATTGAATCCTCCACTTGCATCCTTGTCCTCTGAGCACACACATTAACTAAAGGTCTTTTCTGCCATTGCGGTGGCTGGCCATTGGCCGTGCTCTGGTCTCTCCTGCTTTTTACCTCTAGTGCACTGTAGAATGCTTTTGGCTTTGTTTTCATAAAGTGCTTTATGGTGGTGATGGTGGTGCTGGTGTGTGGGGGCTTTGGCATGGGTGATTATTATTAGGATTCTTGATAAAGAATTGCTTGCAGTATTAGACAACTGGACCCGGCAGCCCCTTCCAGGCCAGTGTTCCTGTGTTTCCTCATTGCAGGAGGACCTGACAACAGTAACATCAGCATGATTCCATTGCCCAGAAGGAGAAGGCTCTTGCATATCATGTCTGAACCTCTGAGACGTGTTCTCTGCTATTTAGCATCTGTGGGGAAAGGGGAAAATGTATCCAGGAGTAGAGAAGTGGATCTACAGATCTAGCTGGCATATTTCCCTTCAGTTCCAGCACAGAATAGGGGCACAGGATTTACTTCTGAGGGAAGGGAGGATTTCCTCCTGGCTGCTGAGCTCCCAATGCTCAGCTGTACTACTCCAGCAATATGCCTGATCAGAGCTCAGACCTGGTTTATACTGACCTGTTTGGCATTTTTTTCTTTTTTCTAAAGAATGGAACAAAATGAATGTGAATGCCCTTGTGAGTGCCCTCTGGAGGTCAATGAATGTACTGGCAACCTTACCAATGCAGAGAGCAGGTGAGAACAAATGTCACTTCTGAGACCATAGTAACATTATCTTTATTACATTTTCTAACATTGACAGTTTGCTCATGTTACCTTATGTGTGATGCAAGGTAAAATATACCATAATTTATTAGAGTAATTTAGCAACTGAATTGTACTTTGCACAGTTCATTTTTTGTTGATGTATTCTGTTGGTGACACAATCTCAAATTTTCCCTCCAATACAGGAATCCTAGCTGTGAAGTCCATCAAGAGCCAATGACTTTCACAGCAATTGATCCTAGCCTGCAGGATGCTCTTCCGCAATGTATTAACACCCGGTGCAACCAGAGAATGGAGAGCGGGTAAAGTGCAGTGTTTCTTATCCCTGAAAATACGTGCAGTGCTTGAAATTAGTAGGAGCTGCTATTTGTTTAAAAACAGATAAATTTTCCCTGGATACTAAATGAATGCATGTCATAACATCTTGGCCTGGTATCATGGCTACAGTGCTATTGTGCTGTCCTGCAGCAAACTTGAGATCTCAGTATCTGTTTGGTTCATTAGGGCTAAGTGGATGCATCAATATAAGTGAGAGACATTCGCTAGTTAGAGGACCATGAATGCAGCCTGAGGGACAGTGCCTGGATGTTTGTCTGTACTCCTTGAGAAGTGAGATGCACTAGAACAAGAACAGTCATAGAAATAAGGGAGTTAGGTATTGCTTATCCTGTCCAGCAGATTTTTGTCAGCTAAAAATAAACTGCACATCATTCAACAATCCATGCTGCAAGTGTGATAGGCTTTATGGATCAAGTTGCGACTGGTAAAGTTTGAGGCAGCATCTCTGTTGCACTCTGTTTCTGTGGAGTACAAATACAGGGCCAGCAAGGAGCCAGCTAAAAACACTGTGATTGTGTTTCCACTCTAGCCCTAGCTACTTTAGAACAGCTTGGCAGTTGCTCTAATTTGTGCCAGTTGGCAGTGGTCTCTAAGCAATTGTCCACCAGCTAGAGTTAACCAGACTGCTCTTTTGCCAACCATTTCCCCCTAGGCCCTGACCCAAAGAGACAGGACTTAGGTGGGGACTCCTCCATGCTGAAAAGCACCCCATCTGAAGAGCTGTAGGCAGTCTTCAGTCCCTTTGTTTTACAGAGAGAGAGGAGAGTGGGTCAGCAAATGACAGACACACTGCTTCCTAGGCTGTCCTTTCCTCATACGATTGATCCGTTATCTAAATTTTTTGCACAGCTTTACATTTGGGCACCAGCCATGAGGATTTATGGATGATTTCAGTTTCCAGTTGACTAGTGACTGTGACGAAATACGGACTGAAATGTAGCCAAACAAAAATATATTTCTCTTTATGGTAAAGCTATCCTTGTTTGTCAATTTTCAGAGATTGCTTTGGTGTCTTGGACTGTGAGTGGTGTATGGTGGACAGTGATGGAAAAACCCACCTGGATAAACCTTACTGCGCACCTCAGAAAGAATGCTTCGGTGGCATTGTGGGAGCAAAAAGCCCCTATGTGGATGATATGGGAGCAATAGGTAATTCTGGGGTTTTAAGGAGGATTTGTATTTATCCATTACACAGCCAGTATTTGGTAGTACGTTGTGTCCATGTGCGTGCTTCTTTCAAGCCATATGCTTCATTTTTGTGCCACAGATATTTTTAATTCTTTGTTAAGTTAAAGTACAGAAGTGGTGTCACTAACAGGTACTTCGCAATTGGTAAATGCTTTGCTTCAGCATCTGCCCAATCCCCCAGCATACCAACGTTCCTGTGGTGAACCAAGAAGCATGAAGTGCTTAGGGTGGCAAAGGAGGGAGGGTGAACGTGGGTGGCTTTATGTTCAACTGCCTCCACATATGGCCCAGGGAACTTGACACGCTGTCATTAAGGAGTGTACCCCTTTCGAAACTGGATTCTTCCTTCATTTCATATTTGCACAGATGTGCTTCTGAGGCCTCGAGAAAACCTTGAGTTTGGTTTAAGTTGTAGAATGCTGGTCTGAAGTTTTCTGCAGGGTGTTCATTTGCCTTTTTTTTATTCAGGAGATGAGGTGATAACATTGAACATGATAAAAAGTGCGCCAGTCGGTCCAGTAGCTGGAGGTATTATGGGGTGCATTATGGTGCTAGTTCTGGCAGTGTATGCATATCGCCACCAGATCCATCGGAGGAGTCACCAGCACATGTCACCTCTTGCTGCACAGGGTAAGCTAATCACTCTTGCGGGTGGAATAAACACCAAGGCTAAAAATCCTGGCATTTCATATACTGTCCTGCTTGTAGTCAGAAACCACTTACTGGTTTTGTGCTTTGGGAACTCTCTGACTCCTAGCCTGATGCTCTTTACCCCACCGTCCCGCTGTTGGCTTTGTATAAATCAGCTTTGTAATAACATTGTCCAGTGTGCTTGAGTACCACTGCCCTCTGCTGGATTCAGAGCTAAGCCTTCTGTTTCCTGGGGAAAACCTGGAGTGACAATTGTAAAGCATTTCCCCCAGGAGCTGTGAATATGGAGTTGCTCACTCAGAAGTGGCAGATCCAGCTGCATGCTGTCCTGAATGTTTTTAAAAATAGATTGTTGTCCAGCAAGAAACAGTTTTTCTTCCTCCTGGGCTGCTGCTTGGATGTGTTATTTCTCCCTGGATTCCCACTTGCACTCTGTGAGCCATTCACAAGTGTGGCAACTTATAAAGGAAAAGGAAGGAGAACAGATTTGTTGTTGTTAGTCATACTGCAGACTAGTGCCCGTTCACCAGACCATGCTGTCTTGTTCTGAGCACATTCACCACCTCTTTGTGCATCCCTGTGCTCTGACTCTTTCACAGCCAGCTCATTTCTAGGATACCTCAGTGTATCATCTGCAGGGAGCACCTCATCCCCATCTGACTCAGAAGCAGGAAGTCCCCCAACCCCTTCCCCGAGCATGGCTCTCCAGCATCATAATGCAGGATGCCACCAGGTTGACAGTCTTTAATAAGTCAATCCAAAATTTTTCTCTTAACAGTTGCATTTTTCTGTTTGTAATGGTGTGTAGAAATGTCAGTGCGTATGTCCAACCTGGAAAATGATAGGGATGAGAGAGATGATGACAGCCATGAAGACAGAGGAATCAGTAAGTGCCGAGTTGAATAACTGTAAAATGTTGCCAGTATTAGGCTGAGGGTTGGTGAGCGTCTTGTGTCCTTCTGCTTATGTTTGAACTACAAACGTGTAAAGGATCTTGGAGCTCTCTTACCAGTTTAGTAATCAAAAATAACAAGTCCAAAGAGTTGACTGACGTAGGTTGTAACTCCCAGTGTCTTTTCAGTCCCATCCCCCAAAATTACTGGTTTTGGCCCTATAGTTCTTGTTAGGCACAAGACCTGCTGCCTCTCAGATCTCCCTGGTGCATAATGGGAGCTTCTTGCTTGTTCTGTTAGTTACAGTGCAGTAAGATTTCTCCCTCCATGACCAGCTAGCTATGGGAACAGCTGAAGGAGAGCCAGAGAGTGTCACTGACTGACAGGGTATGAAAAGCTGCTAGTACTGAGCAGCCTTGCAAAGGGCAAGCACTGTCTGGCCCTTTAATTCCAAGTTTCAGTTCAGTAAGAACTCAGGAAATTGTGAAACTGATTGCCGGTCTTCACTATACAGTCATGGCTGTCCCATGTGTGATACTACTGTACAGTGATGGGCCCACCTGCCTTTGGGCTCATAGAGAAGTGAAAGTCTGAATCCAGAGCAGAATTTCCCATGTAGCCCTAACTCTAGTGGATGGAATCAAGGCCCCAAATCTGCCCACCCTGCTGACTTTAAGAACCAGTTCTTGCATGCGAATCTGGCACCTGGCAGCCACTGCTACTCTTCTAGCTCAGATGAGCCCTCCCTGCTTTTCATTTTGAAACTGAGCAGGATGCAAATGTTTCCTGGGTCTCTGTATTTTGGAACCGTGTGTAATGTTTACTTCTCAAAGGAGATGAAGAGGTTAATATGTTCATTGTGGTCTATCTCTGCTCACAGCGCTTAGACCATGACCTGCTGTCCTTAGCAAGCCTTTATCTCACCCCATCTTCTATGTTTTGGAAGTTGGCAATTCCTATAAAAATTCAGCCGCAGCTCACAGAACCTGCTGCTTCCTTGCTATTCAGTTGCTCCGTGAATATAACTTAGAAATGCTCTGTTTAAAACAAGCCCTGTTTCCTTCTCTCTCCTAGTCAGCAACACTCGGTTTATAGCGGCAGTAATTGAGCGACACGCGCACAGCCCAGAGCGCAGACGTCGGTACTGGGGGCGATCAGGAACGGAGAGCGATCATGGTAAGACTCTGCACCACCCTCTCTCCCCCTCCTTGGTGATTGCACTTGCTCAACTTGTTTGGCAAGTCACAGATAAGGCCACCAAAAAAACTTTGCCCCTTATTGCTTCAGAGTTAAACAATTTTGACACCTCTCAGCACATGACACTGTCCAGCAACAAAGCTATTTTTGTAAGAGCAGTTCTTTAACATGAACTCTTTTGCTTAATGCCTTGTTCTCTGCATCTCATTCTTGGACAGGATTAGCTTTGTTGGGTGACTGACTGCCTGGAATTCAGCCAGACAGCAATGTTACCCCGTTTACTGCACCATTTTCCCCCTAGCCAGCCCTGACAGCTTCTCCAACCCGTTCAGAGAAGGGATGATAAATTTCATTTTCACGACAACAGAGTACATTCCTTGCCCTATGAAGTGAGCATTTTCAACTACTTACTTTTCTGAAAGGCGACCTGCGCATCTTGTTATAAAACTCCCTCTCCACTCTAGTAATAGGTGCTGAAAGTGGCTGGGCTAAACTAAGCATGGATTAAGCTGTAATGTATCTGATGCTCTCTTAGCCTTTCTGTTGGGCATTCAGCACATGCTGCTGTGACAGAGGACATTTGATGTGTCTGTCAGCTTTAAACAGATGATCATCATTTATTATACATAGAGTAAATGGGTTTGGGATGGTGACATTTAGTTCCTTCCCATATTTCTATTGTTAACCCTTTTCAGGACATCAGGGAATTTTGTCATCTTTCCACCTCGAAAAATAGTTGGCTTGGGTGAACATCCAGAGACCAACAATTTTTTAAGTCTTTAAAGCAATTAAAGCGCTCTCATGTTATTGACCTGTGAGGAAGGCTCAGTGTAAGTTAAGACAAGGGTAGACAGGGCTGTCTGCCAGCAGTGTCAGCTGGAACTGAATGTCATTGTTGCATGTTTTAAATCACACCTATTATGTTACTGAGGCCATGGCTACGTGAGCAAAGTTGTCCTGAGACAGAAACCTCTAGGCAGAAGCCTGGGGGTAACCTCTTTACAGTACCTGCACACAAATAAACAGCTATCCTTGGAAGTAACTCCTCCGGCTTGGAACCAGTGTCAAACTTACTGAATTAGAGCAGATTTATCTTGATTTAAGGGGCTACATCCTTTGGTCACAATTTCTTTTCTTCTCAGGGCAACTAGAGCATTCCCAAGAAACTGCACTCCTGCATCCTCAGCCTCAGTCTGATTTTGTTGTTTCATTTCTTACACTCTTAGAAATTCCCCTGCCCAACACCCAGCTCAACACTGGTAGCAGGATAACCACCTGTCCAATCCTTGAAATTGCATATTACTTTTAGACAGCAATGGCTTTGTCACAAACAGGAGTAACCAGACTTCTTGTCTCCTTCAGAGGTCTGTACGGTCTCCTTTCCTTGTCCCTCTCTGCCTGGAAGATGCACTGATTGAAAAATGAGTATTGATCTCCAACTGGAGACATTTCTGATGAGGCCTGATTTTTTTCAGAGGCAGGGATTCAATACTTCCTTAGCAGTAAGGGCCCTGGTAGATGTCTCCAGTTGAGAACTTACAAATTGAGGTACCCCAATCCCCTGGTCATTTTCTAAAACTCTTGGTCAACACTTTCTCAATGAGACTGATGTATAAATAATATCTTCTCTTTAGCTAGATGATGCTTTTTTGAGTGCAGAAACCACCAATCGATGATGCTGTTCTTTTAGTATCTCAACTAATGTTACTGTGAATGTTTTTAATATCCATCTATGTGTCTCATCTTTTTTCTCTTTGGAAATTTACCAAACTCTTGACCCCGTGATGGACTTGTTGGGAATGAAGACTTTAGGTTCATTATGCCTTGTGTTTCTTTAAAAAGAAAAAGCATGCTCCCTTTATCAGGGTTAAATGTGATGATGCCTTTTGACTTGATTGTTCTTATATTACACATGACCTCCCCTATAGCATTCAGCACCTTAACAGTATGCCTTATATTATCTTCTCTCTAAGCTAACTTGTGTCAGTTGTAGTCATCTCTCTGGGTATGGAAGTCCTAACTCTGTTTCCAGGGTACTTTCGCTACAGAGTTTCCCGCTGTCTCTTTTAATAAGGGTTGGGCCAAGAGCAGAGGGAGTGTAGGTATGGGGCTTGCAGCAGTGCCTCAGCAGTAGAGCTTGAATCCGACTGACTAGAGGGATTTTATCAGACTGGGAGTCCCCACTTAGCTAAGAGGAGGAGTTATCGATAAGAGGGAGGCAGCAGAGGTAGAAAGTAGAGTTCATCAGTAGAGCACCCAGCTGAAGGATTGCATGGTCCATGGTGCCTGCTGCTTCTCAGCTCTGCTAAAAAGCCCAGTTCTCTGGTCTCAGATTCTGTGGGCTCCCCCTCTGCTAACTATTCCAAAGAAACAAGCAAGTTTCTTTTTTTGCTATTTGTGAATTATGACTGTTCACTTTCAGCAGTGGTTAGTTTAGTTAAAAATAATCACAAAAAATGAACACACTTTTTTATAAAGGGATATGTATCTATTTGGAATTGTTGGGAGAGAGAATGGGAATGGAGTACAGCTGCCTCTGATGCCAGAGAACTGGGCCCTGCAGCATGGCTGCAGGTTCAGTCCTGCTCCCAGCTCTAGTCACTAGTTCTCCTTCCCAGCTGCCCCATAGAGATCTTCTGTATATCCCCCATAACCCTGCAGGTCTAGATCCAAATCTGCTACTTGCATGTAAATGCACTGAGCCTCTGTGTCTTCATCTTTATAATGGGACTAGTCATATCTGGTCATAGGAGTGTCAAGTCAAAGTTGCTTAATACTCATAAAGTCATTTAAGATATTAAAGAACTGCTGAATGCATACAGAGGTATATTATATCTAATATTATAAAAGCATTAGTCTGTCTGTCCGTAACACTTTATTCTCACTCTGATTGGCTGACTGAAACAAGCAATCAGAGTGCTCCAAAAGTGGTTGGACAGGAGATGGTGCGGCAGGAACATGGGACGGAGCGGGGTGGGGGCCAGGCCAGCACATGATATGCAGCTATCACATGATATGCAGCTTTACATTGGTGTAAGTTGCTCCATTCCAACATAAAGCTTCCGTTTAGACAGGGAGTAGTAACTACACAGCAGTGACTGTTACATTGGCCTACCAGGTTTGTGCCCACCCTCTATGTCCTATGCAACACCATTCTGAGGTAGCTTTGCTTAGTACAAACATGCTGTTACTGGCTCCGCCACCCCCTAGTGCCAAGGCATCATAAACCTTACTGCAGGTACCTGCTTATGGAGCACTGGTCCACCTCAGACACCTGTGTTGAGCTGACACTAGAATAAATTGAAGATAAACATGTCATGTGTCCACTCCCATGCAGAGCACTTTGATCACCTTGTGTTTTCCATATAATTTGATACCTCTTCTCTGAAAAGTATAAGAGAGAATTCATGTAGAAGAAATGAAAGGCCAGAAAGCAGCTGGATAATGATTGGCAAACTGTCCATCAAATCTATGATTAAATCAATAGTGTTAAACTGTGTATTCGATATACTCCTTTAACTAGCTCAGCAGCTAGTTAGTGTCAAGACTAAGACATAAGCCCAACTGATAGGTACCAAAACATGCGTCCTTGTGTAGCAGAGAAGTAAAGTGCTGTTTCTCTCTTGGCTTTCTTTTTATTCTTGTAATTACAGCATATGAAGCTCAGGAAATGGCATGAACAGTGAGAAAATACACTCCTTGTATTCTGAAGTAAAATACCCGCATGATATGTGCAGCCTCTTCAGGGTCCAGATGAGGTGGAATGGATTTTGATTGCCTTCCTTTCTTGTTAGACCAAATCAATGTTATTTTGAGACCCCTGGCAGATGTTACAATTAAGATGTGATTAACCGATTAATTGTGCCATAAATAGTAGCCCTACCACACATTCAAGGAATTAATGGCATGACAAAACAGGAAACCAGCCACACACACATCCCACAAAAGATGTGTGTGTTTTTTGTGGCTTGTTTCCATTGTGCCTTATACTGAATGTGTGGCAGGATAACCAGAGCCAGCTCAAGACTTGAACCAATGCAGTCCCAGGGCTGGGACCAACAGTCACTGATTGTCAATCGGGGTCTGGGGACCTCTTGAGTTCAGCCAGGCTATGGGCACCTGGCTTTCAACTTGCCAGTGCAAGGGGAGCTCAGGCTCCCCCTGTACTGGCCAGTGGCCTGTGCTAAGCGGCTAGTATTCGCTTCGAATTCAGCCAGTAGTAATTGTGCTACAGGGATCTGATCCCAAAATCTCATGTCTTTCCATGCAATTCCATTACATCCCATCATGCCTTTAAATATATGAACATGTGCCAGGGAACTTAGATACAGTCAGGCAATATGTTTCTTTGGATGCAGGTGTTACCAAGTTGCCTATAGGATTTTTTAGATAGATTTATTGCAGCACTTCTCAGAGATTTCCAGCTGTGGAGGACCTGCGCACATTGTCACTTCCTTATAGATGATCTCCCCTGAGACATAAACCAATCTGAAGAGTTTTCTTAAGAACCCAGCAGATCTAACTCTTTAACAGTGTGTATGCATAGGCAGATATTCAGCAGCCAGAAGTTTCTATTCAGCTGTGTGCCAGTAGATGAGTTTGACTGTTCACAAATCTGAGTAGAGCTGCCTGTAACTAAAGAGTGACTGATGCCAGCACTGGATTCAGCAGAAGTGTTGCTTTGCTGTCCCTTCAGAAACTAAAAAGACAGGGCTACAATACAGATGAAATAGTTGCTGGCCTTACAAGGAAAGCTGTAGTTAGGAATGGGAATCCTGTATAATTTAAAGAGACAGTGCAGCCCAAATTTTGCCTTGCTGTTTTTTTTTTTTCTTTTCTCATCTGTTTTCAAAGTCTAAATAATATTTCAGGATCTTTTTCTCTCAGAAACCATGTTTCTTGTTTCTTTGGTAATTTAAATCAATGCCAACAGCACTGATCTACAAAACACTGTCTGCATGCATGAAAGCTGGTTGGTTTATTTGGTTTTAATGTTCGGTATGGCAGATATTTCAAAGTCAGGTTCTTAAAACACCGCAGGAGCAGGTGAAGAGCAATGGATGGCAACAGGGAAGGAGGAGTTATTCTAAAATTATACAAAATCTTTAACCTAGAACTTTTACTCTGACCACATTCTTGCTTCCAGTGCAAGTTGGTATGTGTACAAGCTTATAATTTTGGATCTTTTGACCTACCTAGTTTGTCTTTTATTTGTGTTGTTTTCTAGGCTACAGCACCATGAGTCCTCAGGAAGACAGTGAAAACCCTCCATGTAACAATGACCCATTATCAGCTGGTGTTGATGTTGGCAATCATGATGAAGATTTAGACCTGGACACGCCGCCCCAAACAGCTGCACTTCTAAGTCACAAGTTTCACCACTACAGGTTGCACCACCCTACTCTCCATCACAGCCATCACTTACAGGCTGCGGTCACAGTACACACTGTGGATGCAGAATGCTAATGAACTTCATTCTTTGCGGAGAAAAAACAAAAGAGTTTGCGAACAATGAATCCATGCAGAAATGGGCAGCCTTGGGCTCGTGCTCTTTGCCAGGAGCAGTTTAACCACCTTTCTGAGTGAACTATTCCATGTAAAACCCTTACATATTACAAAAAGTAAGGTTGGCTCTGAAATGGAAGGGAAACGAGCTTGATGAATGGACCTGCCATAACATTTAATAAAATGGAGCAGGAGGTATGCTAGGCCTCCAAAAACAGGGATAAACGTTTACACAGTAACTGAAGTTTTGGAAACCCTGTTAAGTCGAGCCAAGAGAGAAGAGAGCTCAAAGAAGCTGGAGATGTTTTGCTTTCCTTAACTGGAAGAGGAGAAATCTGTGCAGCCAGAGACAAAGGAAGTGCTGGATACAGAAATAAGGATTCTTTTTATGTTGGTTTCTGTTTCATTTTTAGAAAGTATGCTGCTCTGACAATTGCTGTATGGGATCTGGAACAATGCATCTCAAGATTTTTAAGTAAAGGATTATTTTTCTACTATTTATTGAACTTGAAGCATTTTTTAACTTTGGGGGGGAAAGGCAAAACACGTTAGCAATTATCGACAAGTGCAGCATACGTTCTGTGTGACGGAAGTGGTTTTTCCAAGGAAGACATTTGTTTCTCATTAACTGATAATCATCCACAGCCCCACTTTGCAAAAAAAAGGGAAAATGAAGACACCATTTCTGACTTGTTTACATTTGCTTTTTCACAATTGTTTTGTGTAAATTTTGCAAGCTGACTTGTGATACAAATTTTTTTAGAATATGAAGAAGAGGGATCCTTTGCTTCCCTAAAAAAGCGCTGATGATTCTCACTTTGTCTTCCTGTATTGACACTTGTGACCACTCTTAGATTCCCTTCATGGAAGGAAGACAGGGTTTAAATAGTGTTTACTATCAGAGAATTTAAAGATTCAGTATGTCCCATTTTTTATTCTCTTTAGAACGTTGGCAAAATTAGAACAAAAAAGCACAAACTGTGCTTTGTAAAATTCAGGATATTCTGGGAAATACCTTTTAAAATTTTAATTATTAGCTGCTGCTGTTTGTCTGGAATTTAACACTGCTTGGTGGTTCATACAGGGATTAATCAAGTCTTTCTGATACCACATGGGGCATCATAATTTTAAATTAGTTTTAAATCACAGTGTTGTATTTTAGATTCACATTTTGTGATTAAAATGTTATAAAAACATTCTTGCACTGTGCATATGATAAACATCCATTTATTTGTAGTTTTTTTAAAGATCGCTAAATACTGTTTTAATGAATAGGGTACTTAATACTGTATTATGTA